TTTCTCGCTAAAAAAGGTTCACCTCTAACACCCACCTATCCATTTACAACAACGGATCTACTCAATTGGTCCGCCCAAGTGGCAAAAGGATTACAGTTTTTGGCTTCAAATGATCCTTCTATCATACACCGTGATCTAGCTGCTCGAAATATCTTACTTTGTGAAAATAAAGTGGTGAAAATTGGTGATTTCGGTCTGTCACGGAGACTGAACGGGAGTTATGTTTATGTAAAAACATCATGGGTAAGAATGACAATGAACGACAAATGGTCTTTGAATAAAAATTGACTATCAAAGGATTTTTTCAATTTATAGGCTCCAGACCCACTCCGATGGATGGCCATTGAATCACTGCCAGAAGAAGATGAACCGAAATTCAGCGTAAAATCGGATGTTTGGTCGTTTGGTGTTGTACTTTGGGAGTTGTTTTCAGAAGGAGACGATCCATATTACATCTCGAAAGAAGACCTGTCAGAAGGCGTCCGATTGAAAAGACCAAAAAAAGCTACGAAAGAAATGTGAGAATCGAACAGTACACTGCATGAGCTGAGAATTTGTTACGAAAACGTCGAATAATTATGATTTCAATGTTCGCAAATAGGTATGATCTTATGATGTCTTGTTGGGAGGAAAATCCAGAGGATCGTCCATCGTTTGATAAGTTAGAGGAAATGCTTTCGCAAATTTATCTGAATGCTTTGAATGGTGATAGAGACAATGATAAGGATAAAAATGAAGACATCCTAAGGAGTGTGAGAGTAGATGATCTGAAGTTCAATGATAGAGCAAGCCTGATTTCAGATGCAACAGAGGAAAGTGACTCCATTTCGGACTACAATTCGCCTTAATGATAGTACTTTCTCCCTTATCATTTTCAAGTTATTAGTTGTAATTGAACCAACGCAACCAAATAAATGTTCAAATCTGACATTCCACATGAAATTCATTCAACGTTTATGCTTTTTAATCTTTATATGAGGAGAAAATATCTAGTTGAAAGCTATATGTATTTTTATCATGATGACGTGCAAAGGACAGATTTCTCACACATTCTCATCAGTGAAAATGATTAAAATTTCCAAGGAATTTGTAACAGCATCCGGCCGAGTTTAATGCATGCGTATGTTATTATCACTTTTTCACTATGAAACCAATTGCCCAACTGTGTTCGTTATAATCAAAGTAATATCAAAAGTAAAACAGAATGACTAAACGAATGAAGTGCAGTAATGGTGTCCATTACAAATGTATGTTGCATTTGACAGCGGTGATAACCCGCATAGAAGTGAATACATTCAGAGTATTGATCGATGAAAATGATTACGACCAGATATAAATTCACGCAATCCATAATTTTCATCTATTAAATACACACGACGATGATAACGGTAGTTCAGCGGCGACCAGACAGTTGTCGCTACTAGTGTAGAATAATGAGAGAAGAAAAGAAGAAGCAAAAAAAAGTTGTTTACTTCTTTTTCTTTTCTTTCTCCTCTTCTCTTATTCTTCCACACTAGTAACGACAACTGTCTGGTCGCCGCTGAACTATCGTTGTCATCGTCGTGTGATTAAATAGTTTCAAAGCAAAAATAATTCAGTGAACATTCAGACTGCGTCGTAATCGTACTGTTATCAAATAAATTCATTTGATTAAAAAGAACTAACTGAATCGATTGATTGCCGAGTTATTCAAACATTTTTGCACCAGACATAACAAAGAAAGAACTATTTTCAAAGTCGGACGCAATTCGCTACTGTAAGTTATAGATTCGTATTAAACTTTAGTACCATCACTGTACTCGTTTGCGGTGTTCTTTCATTCAAAACGTTTTCATAGGAACGAAGATGAACACATTATATATGATCATATTGCTTGTTTCATTTGCGGCTTTTACTGAACAAGAATTGGCAGCAAATTCGACTGTTTCCATGGGTAATTCAACACTTTCAGAATCGATTTTTCATTTTAAATTTTATAAGATTGCGATTCAATTTTTTGTTCCATTTGTTTTTACATCATGATTGTTCGATGTCAGTAGATGATGAGCAAGACAAAGGGTAAGCTAAACTCTTGAAACCCTAATTCAGAGCAGTTTTATCATTTTCAGAATTTTTTTCCCCCTAGATTCCAAATATCGAACACAACGAATGAGCTTATAAATGCTATCAAACGAGGTATGTATTTGAAAATGATAAAACGACTGTTTTTTTGTATTTTTGGCTTTAAATTACATATTGTTGAGGCAAAACTATTTACTATGATTTGGGAAAAATATGCAAAAAAAAAACGTTTCGAATTTTTTTTTTGATTGACAGAACAAGTGA